CCCCCCCCCGTCCATCCCCCAGTCCCCGCGACCCCGAGCCCAGCCATGCGGGCGCGTACCTTTGTCCGGCGAGTGAAGCCGCCTTGCGAGCGAGCGGCTCACGAGGTCGGAGTGAAAGGAGCGCCAGTCCAGCCGAGAAGACACCCAGAGAGGCACGGAGAGGAGGAAGAGGCGTTTCCAGAGTTCCCAGGGGGTCACGCGGCACGGGGGGGGGGGGGGAACACATTGACGACGGCGACGCACGCACAAGCAGCCACGCGCATCACACCCAGTCCCCGCATTGCACCCAGTCCCCGCATCGCACCCAGTCCCCGCATCGCACCCAGACCCCCCCGCACCGTCTCACCGCACAGCGGCGTTTTCTCAAACTCGCGCGCTGTACGGGGCATAGCAGCTGCAGCAGCTGGCTGCGGCACGGAGACCATGCAGGAAAGGTAATTTCTGAAAGTGCGCGGAGGGGGGGGGGGCAAACCGACGTCGCCTCGGTGGCCGTGCCGTTACTACCACGTGCGTCGAGACGCAGCGTCGCTTTGTGAGCAAGCCGCAACGCCGATCGTTAGAACAGTCTAGACGTGTGGCGTGGGGTGGGGGTGATGGAGCTATCCATAATTTCTCAACGTCCACTTTGAACGAAGCAGATGGTGCGTGGTGATTACTGCGGTTAATACCACACACACACGCACACGTTAATACCACACACGCGCGCACACACGCTAGTACGTCGCGCATCATGCCTTCTACGTGAGCGAGGGGACGGCGTGAGCGGCGTAGCGGGCAAGCGGTCGCACCCCCCGCACCCTCCACCCGAGGCCCCCACCCCTGCCCACCTGAGCAGGGCGTTAGTGAGCGCGCGGCAGGGAAATCCGTTAGTGGGCGGGCAGTCGAAAGTTAGCGAGCCGAAACCCCCCCCCCCCCCCCCCCCCCCGTGCAACGACGAGCACTCTGCACATTCACGTCATGTCGCATCCGAGAACACAAAGCACACGTGACCAGCGGCCACTTAAAACGATGGTGAATATTATTGTTGTGATGACAATCACAAAAACGAGAGTGTGCGGGCGTTCGTCAATCCGCCGCGGGATGAAAGGCTCCCCCCCCCCCCTGCCACCCCCCACGTGCCGCGGTCGTTGTCTCGGTGACCGTACTTCACCGCGACGGTTGGTGACGCGAGTGAGCGGCGGTGACCCGGCGCCGTGGGCCCCCCCGTGCGAGCGGAAGGGGGCATCCCGGCACACGACGAGGGTGTGGGTGGCTGGCACCACGCCCGGCCGTCTTCGTCTCCCCAGTGGCGATGTTTACACGCCGCACCGCCAGGCCCGCCCGCTAGGCCCCGCCCGCCAGGCCCGCCCGCTAGGCCCACTCACTTGTCCACCGTACCTTGAAGGCGAACTTGCGGTTGATTTTATCGTCGGCTTCCACCGGATTCACCTGGAAGCTGGGCAGGGAGATGCTGCCCAGGACACCCTCCTCCTTGTTGTCTGCGCTCCCCCACGGCAGGGGGCCACGGGGCGGGTGGGGGGGGCAGAGTCAGCATGGTTGGGAGGGCAGGGGGGGGGGACAGCGAGCCCGTTGCCAGGGAGCTCCCGTGGCGCGGGGCGGAACGTCGGACATCGAGGCCCCAGCGACGGCACGACGGCGGAGCGACCGGGCCCGCCCACTCGTGGCGACTCGGCTCCCGGCACGTCACAAGTAACCGGGATAACGAGGTGGTAAGGGCTCGGGTTGAGAGGTCAGGGGTCAGAGTGCACCACTCACCTTTGTAGTAGAACAGGCAGAAGTCGGACAGCACGAACCAACGCTGCTTCCACAGCTTCATCCCCGTGCTGTCCTGTGGTGCCGACAGCCACACAGCCACTGCGTTAGGACGAGACTCCTCTATGTGAGTCTATGCGTCTCTGTGTGATGAGTCTGTGGGTCTCTGTGAGTCTGTGGGTCTCTGTGTGAGTCTGTGGGTGTCTTTGAGTCTGTGGGTCTTTATGCAAGTCTGTGGGTCTCTGTGTGATGAGTCTGTGGGTCTCTGTGTGATGAGTCTGTGGGTCTGTGTGAGTCTGTGGGTCTCTGAGTGAGTCTATGCGTCTCTGTGTGATGAGTCTGTGGGTCTCTGTGAGTCTGTGCATCTCTGTGTGAGTCTGTGGGTCTCTGTGTGAGTCTGTGGGTGTCTTTGAGTCTGTGGGTCTTTATGCAAGTCTGTGGGTCTCTGTGTGATGAGTCTGTGGGTCTGTGTGAGTCTGTGGGTCTCTGAGTGAGTCTGTGGGTCTCTGTGTGATGAGTCTGTGGGTCTCTGTGAGTCTGTGGGTCTCTGTGAGTCTGTGGGTCTTTATGCAAGTCTGTGGGTCTCTGTGTGATGAGTCTGTGGGTCTCTGTGTGATGAGTCTGTGGGTCTGTGTGAGTCTGTGGGTCTCTGAGTGAGTCTATGCGTCTCTGTGTGATGAGTTTGTGGGTCTCTGTGAGTCTGTGGGTCTCTGTGTGAGTCTGTGGGTCTCAGTGAGTCTGTGGGTCTTTATGCAAGTCTGTGGGTCTCTGTGTGATGAGTCTGTGGGTCTGTGTGAGTCTGTGGGTCTCTGTGTGAGTCTGTGGGTCTCTGTGTGAGTCTGTGGGTCTCTGTGTGATGAGTCTGTGGGTCTCTGTGAGTCTGTGGGTCTCTGTGTGAGTCTGTGGGTCTCTGTGAGTCTGTGGGTCTTTGTGCAAGTCTGTGGGTCTCTGTGTGATGAGTCTGTGGGTCTGTGTGAGTCTGTGGGTCTCTGTGTGAGTCTATGCGTCTCTGTGTGATGAGTCTGTGGGTCTCTGTGAGTCTGTGGGTCTCTGTGTGAGTCTGTGGGTCTCTGTGTGGTCTCGTCTCTAACCATTCTCCACCTCCTCCCCTCCACCTCCTTCCCTCCACCTCCCATCTTCACCCCCCCCCCTCCTCCTTCACTCCCTGTCACCAATCTTTGAGCTGCTCCCCCCCCACCCCTCCTCTACCCCCCCAACCGCACCCCGGCGTCTCCCTCCTTTCAAGCGGTCTCTCTCGTTCTTCTCCTTCAGCGACCGCATCATCCACTGCTCCAGCTGCACCGTGGAGTCACGCGTCTGCCTCTCCAGTGCCGCCGCCGCCCGGTGGCCCTCGCCGGCGCCGCCAGCCGCCCCGTAGCCAAACTCGTCCTGGTTGAACGCCGACAGGCTGCTGCTGCTTGCTGCCGGCAAGCCCCATCCTGTCCGTGCTGTGCCGCTGCAGGCGCAGCTGCAGCTGCAGCGGCTGCTGCGGCTGCTGCGGCTGCTGCTGGTTCGGGTGACATAGAACCACGCCGGACTTCGCCGCCGCTTCCGGCCGTAAGATCGCGGCGCCGGCGGTGGGGCGATCGGCGGCCTCCGCGGTCGTTCGGCCTGGGCCCGCCGACGGGTCGAACCTCTCGTCGCCGTCCCGCCGCTCCGCGGCCGCCCCCCTCTCGCCATCGCCGTCGCGCAGCTGCCGCCGGAGCTCCTCCGCGGCCACGGCTGCCGCCACAGCGTCGTCGTCGTCGTCCATGCCGGCCCGCGAGCGAGCCGGCCCCTCCTCTGTCACGATCTCCACATCGCCACGAGGGCCGCCCCCCCGTTCGTCGTCGTCGTCGGAGCGCGGCGGCCTCCACCGGGCCGGCGCCGCGACATCTCCCGGCGCCCCACGGAGCCCGTCGACGAGCACCTGCCCCCCCGCCTCCTCCTCCGCCGCCGCTCGCCCGCGTGAGCGGTTGCCCCCGCCGCCGCCACCGCCGTTGCTGGACGTTGGGATCAGATCGCGTGAGACGCCGCGGTGGCTGGGGAGATGTTGACTACCTCGCCTGGTACGCGGGAGGTCGTGGGTTCAATCCCGACTCTCTCTTCCGTGGGTTACGTGGATTCTTCTCCACATTTAGAATTGATATCCCAGGTTTTTTCTTGGGTTAGATCGCGTAAATGTGTAAATGTTGTGTCGTTAAAACCCGCCACCACCCGACACAGCCAACTAGTAAGGGTTGTCATGTAAACAGAACGTGGCCAATTCGTCACTAGTACAGCACTAGTGTGTAGTGTATAATGTAGTGTATAGTGTAGTGTATAGTCGTGTAGTGTATAATGTAGTTTATAGTAGTGTAGTGTATAATGTAGTGTATAGTGTAGTGTACTAGTACAGCACACCGGTTGTGTGTTGGAGAGCCAAGCCACAACATTTAAATTCTGAATATCGTGACGCTTCGCCAGTAAATACAACCAGATTCATCAGGCGACAGCCAGATTTGTGGAGAAGTCCTCCACCTGCTACGTTCCTTATATAGAGGCGTAGATGTGGTGACCACACTTCTGCGCTCTTGCGCATAGTGGGGGGGGGGGATTACTGAGTCAACCTAAGAGCCTACGCGTTAAACTGATATAAATATGGCGTGGAACCCACCAGCCAACCGACATTGAGCAAGGTTTGTCACCTAAATCGACGGTTTAGAGTGTATGGCTTGCGAGAAATGTCCACTTCGTTGAGCTATCGTTTGTGGCCACGTCGCTGTGAACTCCCAGGCGGTGTACGTGCCGGGCGGTGTACACCCTGTGCCACCCTGCGCCACCCTGCGCCACCCTGTGCCACGCTACCATCCGATATTGGGAAGCCGCTGGAGCCGCTGGAGCTACGCAATTTTAAATCATCATCATCATCTAGATTGACAAACTAAATTCTTGAGAACTCCTCTTTGTGTATAGGTTGCTGTCCTTCCCCCGCACCTCCGATTAGCACGGAAGGCTACGTACGGTGCGAAAGAAGTTCAACATACATACGTACATACATAGACTCACACAGAGACCCATATACTCGCAGAGACCCACAGAGACCCGTAGTTTGACGTCCTTCCCCCGCACCTCCGATTAGCACGGCTGGCTACGTACGTTGCGTTCAACGCACACGCACGTGCGCGCAAACGCACGAGGGGGGGTTGGAGGGGAGGAGGCGTCTCACCCCTGCGAGATCTCCATCTGCAGCTGCGACGCCTGCGCCATCGCCTTCATCCACACGCGTATTTCCTCCAGCGAGTCGGCGGCGAAGTAGTAGGTGCGCATGCCAGCGTGCCGCGCCTGCCACGGCACACGAGTCAAGTGGCGCCCCCCCCCCCCCTGCCGGCTTCTCGTGCCTCTGGCTCGGAGGCCCAGCCTATGGAGGGAGGGGGGGGGGAGAATAGAGGAGGTGGGCACGCACGCACGCAGGTAGGCAGGCACGCACGCAGGTCAGCTGCATTATAACCCAGCCAGCTGCATTATAACCCAGCCAGCTGCGTTATAACCCGTTCAGCTGCATTATAACCCGACCAGCTGCATTATAACCCAGTCAGCTGCATTATAACCCAGCCAGCTGCGTTATAACCCGTTCAGCTGCATTATAACTCAGTCAGCTGCATTATAACCCGACCAGCTGCATTATAACCCAGTCAGCTGCATTATAACCCGACCAGCTGCATTATAACTCAGTCAGCTGCATTATAACCCGACCAGCTGTATTATAACCCAGTCAGCTGCGTTATAACCCAGTCAGCTGCATTATAACCCAGTCAGCTGCATTATAACCCAGTCAGCTGCGTTATAACCCAGTCAGCTGCATTATAACCCAGTCAGCTGCATTATAACCCAGTCAGCTGCATTATAACCCAGTCAGCTACGTTATAACCCAGTCATCTGCATTATAACCCAGTCAGCTGCATTATAACCCAGTCAGCTGCATTATAACGCAGTCAGCTGCATTATAACCCAGTCAGCTGCATTATAACCCAGTCAGCTACGTTATAACCCAGTCAGCTGCATTATAACCCAGTCAGCTACGTTATAACCCGGTCAGCTGCATTATAACCCAGTCAGCTACGTTATAACCCAGTCAGCTACGTTATAACCCAGTCAGCTGCATTATAACCCAGTCAGCTACGTTATAACCCAGTCAGCTACGTTATAACCCAGTCATCTGCATTATAACCCAGTCAGCTGCATTATAACCCGTCCAGCTGCATTATAACCAAGTCAACTGCATTATAACCCGACCAGCTGCATTATAACCCAGTCAGCTGCGTTATAACCCAGTCAACTGCATTATAACCCAGTCAGCTGCGTTATAACCCAGTCAGCTGCATTATAACCCAGTCAGATGCATTATAACCCAGTCAGCTGCATTATAACCCAGTCAGCTACGTTATAACCCAGTCAGCTGCATTATAACCCGCGTTATAACCCAGTCAGCTGCACTATAACCCAGTCAGCTGCGTTATAACCCAGTCAGCTGCACTATAACCCAGTCAGCTACGTTATAACCCGTTCAGCTGCATTATAACCCGACCAGCTGCATTATAACCCAGTCAGCTGCATTATAACCCAGCCAGCTGCGTTATAACCCGTTCAGCTGCATTATAACTCAGTCAGCTGCATTATAACCCGACCAGCTGCATTATAACCCAGTCAGCTGCATTATAACCTGACCAGCTGCATTATAACTCAGTCAGCTGCATTAAAACCCGACCAGCTGCATTATAACCCAGTCAGCTGCGTTATAACCCAGTCAGCTGCATTATAACCCAGTCAGCTGCGTTATAACCCAGTCAGCTGCATTATAACCCAGTCAGCTGCGTTATAACCCAGTCAGCTGCATTATAACCCAGTCAGCTGCATTATAACCCAGTCAGCTGCATTATAACCCAGTCAGCTACGTTATAACCCAGTCATCTGCATTATAACCCAGTCAGCTCCATTATAACCCAGTCAGCTGCATTATAACCCAGTCAGCTGCATTATAACCCAGTCAGCTGCATTATAACCCAGTCAGCTACGTTATAACCCAGTCAGCTGCATTATAACCCAGTCAGCTACGTTATAACCCAGTCAGCTGCATTATAACCCAGTCAGCTACGTTATAACCCAGTCATCTGCATTATAACCCAGTCAGCTGCATTATAACCCGTCCAGCTGCATTATAACCAAGTCAACTGCATTATAACCCGACCAGCTGCATTATAACCCAGTCAGCTGCGTTATAACCCAGTCAAATGCATTATAACCCAGTCAGCTGCGTTATAACCCAGTCAGCTGCATTATAACCCAGTCAGATGCATTATAACCCAGTCAGCTGCATTATAACCCAGTCAGCTACGTTATAACCCAGTCAGCTGCATTATAACCCGCGTTATAACCCAGTCAGCTGCACTATAACCCAGTCAGCTGCGTTATAACCCAGTCAGCTGCACTATAACCCAGTCAGCTACGTTATAACCAAGTCAGATGCATTATAACCCAGTCAGCTGCATTATAATCTGGTCAGCTGCATTATAACCCGGCCGGACTTTAACGTCGTGAACTCCGTCGCGATTGTATTTCCCGTTTTTGCCTGCATTGCTTTGATGCATTCGAAGTAACGGTGAAGTGTAACTTCACTGTTGCAGTTGTATTCGTCTGGCCTTTAACTTATGAGAATAAAAAAATACATACTTTGCGTGAATGCGTGTGCGTGCGCGAACACAAACATCGCACGCGTGTACAAAAGTGCGAATTTGTTCGCATACAAATGAGGCTTTCCAGAGCACGAAAATTACATCGTAAATAAATATTCATTAATGTCATCGATTCATCAATGAAAGCCCATTAAAATAGCCATTGTTATCAACTCCTCGTTTTGCCAATCCACTGCCAGATGAAGCCCTCCTCATGCCGTGTCAGCCACGGGGGTTGTTTGGCCATACTTCACCGCTCTGGAAAGCCTCACCCCAGCGATTCTCCGAAACTCCATTCCTCAGGAGGGTCCCTGCCCCCCGACCTGATTGGCCAACAGCTTCCTCTCGAGTAGCTTTGCATTTTTTATTGTTTTAGCCCCGTGCGACGACGTGCAGGTCAGCTCGTTTTATAAAAAGAAAATTCGACGCGAGTATTTTCTCCCGTCGGCTTTCCCCCTCGTCTTATAAAGGTTTCATTTCTTTTTTAATCGACGTACGGCAACGTCAATAATTTCCGCTTTTGAAAAAAAATCGTCGCCGGTTTTTGAACTCCTTTGGAGACGAGAGAGAGCGGCATCCGCCAGCAGGAGCCCACCGCGGAAGCGCTCAGGCGTGTCCGGAGAACGCCACGAGGAAGGAGGCGTCCCAGAACCACTCCCGAGATCCAACGCCCCATGGCGACCGCACGGAAATTTTTATCTGAAAAGCCGAGGAGCTGTTTTGGGCTAAAAACAAAACGCGGCAAGAACCCCCCCCCCCCCCCCCGTCCATCCCCAAGTCCCCGCGACCCCGAGCCCAGCCATGCGGGCGCGTACCTTTGTCCGGCGAGTGAAGCCGCCTTGCGAGCGAGCGGCTCACGAGGTCGGAGTGAAAGGAGCGACAGTCCAGCCGAGAAGACACCCAGAGAGGCACGGAGAGGAGGAAGAGGCGTTTCCAGAGTTCCCAGGGGGTCACGCGGCACGGGGGGGGGGGGGGAACACATTGACGACGGCGACGCACGCACAAGCAGCCACGCGCATCACACCCAGTCCCCGCATTGCACCCAGTCCCCGCATCGCACCCAGTCCCCGCATCGCACCCAGACCCCCCCGCACCGTCTCACCGCACAGCGGCGTTTTCTCAAACTCGCGCGCTGTACGGGGCATAGCAGCTGCAGCAGCTGGCTGCGGCACGGAGACCATGCAGGAAAGGTAATTTCTGAAAGTGCGCGGAGGGGGGGGGGGGCAAAACCGACGTCGCCTCGGTGGCCGTGCCGTTACTACCACGTGCGTCGAGACGCAGCGTCGCTTTGTGAGCAAGCCGCAACGCCGATCGTTAGAACAGTCTAGACGTGTGGCGTGGGGTGGGGGTGATGGAGCTATCCATAATTTCTCAACGTCCACTTTGAACGAAGCAGATGGTGCGTGGTGATTACTGCGGTTAATACCACACACACACGCACACGTTAATACCACACACGCGCGCACAACACGCTAGTACGTCGCGCATCATGCCTTCTACGTGAGCGAGGGGACGGCGTGAGCGGCGTAGCGGGCAAGCGGTCGCACCCCCCGCACCCTCCACCCGAGGCCCCCACCCCTGCCCACCTGAGCAGGGCGTTAGTGAGCGCGCGGCAGGGAAATCCGTTAGTGGGCGGGCAGTCGAAAGTTAGCGAGCCGAAACCCCCCCCCCCCCCCCCCCCCCCGTGCAACGACGAGCACTCTGCACATTCACGTCATGTCGCATCCGAGAACACAAAGCACACGTGACCAGCGGCCACTTAAAACGATGGTGAATATTATTGTTGTGATGACAATCACAAAAACGAGAGTGTGCGGGCGTTCGTCAATCCGCCGCGGGATGAAAGGCTCCCCCCCCCCACTGCCACCCCCCACGTGCCGCGGTCGTTGTCTCGGTGACCGTACTTCACCGCGACGGTTGGTGACGCGAGTGAGCGGCGGTGACCCGGCGCCGTGGGCCCCCGCGTGCGAGCGGAAGGGGGCATCCCGGCACACGACGAGGGTGTGGGTGGCTGGCACCACGCCCGGCCGTCTTCGTCTCCCCAGTGGCGATGTTTACACGCCGCACCGCCAGGCCCGCCCGCTAGGCCCCGCCCGCCAGGCCCGCCCGCTAGGCCCACTCGCTTGTCCACCGTACCTTGAAGGCGAACTTGCGGTTGATTTTATCGTCGGCTTCCACCGGATTCACCTGGAAGCTGGGCAGGGAGATGCTGCCCAGGACACCCTCCTCCTTGTTGTCTGCGCTCCCCCACGGCAGGGGGCCACGGGGCGGGTGGGGGGGGCAGAGTCAGCATGGTTGGGAGGGCAGGGGGGGGGGACAGCGAGCCCGTTGCCAGGGAGCTCCCGTGGCGCGGGGCGGAACGTCGGACATCGAGGCCCCAGCGACGGCACGACGGCGGAGCGACCGGGCCCGCCCACTCGTGGCGACTCGGCTCCCGGCACGTCACAAGTAACCGGGATAACGAGGTGGTAAGGGCTCGGGTTGAGAGGTCAGGGGTCAGAGTGCACCACTCACCTTTGTAGTAGAACAGGCAGAAGTCGGACAGCACGAACCAACGCTGCTTCCACAGCTTCATCCCCGTGCTGTCCTGTGGTGCCGACAGCCACACAGCCACTGCGTTAGGACGAGACTCCTCTATGTGAGTCTATGCGTCTCTGTGTGATGAGTCTGTGGGTCTCTGTGAGTCTGTGGGTCTCTGTGTGAGTCTGTGGGTGTCTTTGAGTCTGTGGGTCTTTATGCAAGTCTGTGGGTCTCTGTGTGATGAGTCTGTGGGTCTCTGTGTGATGAGTCTGTGGGTCTGTGTGAGTCTGTGGGTCTCTGAGTGAGTCTATGCGTCTCTGTGTGATGAGTCTGTGGGTCTCTGTGAGTCTGTGCATCTCTGTGTGAGTCTGTGGGTCTCTGTGTGAGTCTGTGGGTGTCTTTGAGTCTGTGGGTCTTTATGCAAGTATGTGGGTCTCTGTGTGATGAGTCTGTGGGTCTGTGTGAGTCTGTGGGTCTCTGAGTGAGTCTGTGGGTCTCTGTGTGATGAGTCTGTGGGTCTCTGTGAGTCTGTGGGTCTCTGTGAGTCTGTGGGTCTTTATGCAAGTCTGTGGGTCTCTGTGTGATGAGTCTGTGGGTCTCTGTGTGATGAGTCTGTGGGTCTGTGTGAGTCTGTGGGTCTCTGAGTGAGTCTATGCGTCTCTGTGTGATGAGTTTGTGGGTCTCTGTGAGTCTGTGGGTCTCTGTGTGAGTCTGTGGGTCTCAGTGAGTCTGTGGGTCTTTATGCAAGTCTGTGGGTCTCTGTGTGATGAGTCTGTGGGTCTGTGTGAGTCTGTGGGTCTCTGTGTGAGTCTGTGGGTCTCTGTGTGAGTCTGTGGGTCTCTGTGTGATGAGTCTGTGGGTCTCTGTGAGTCTGTGGGTCTCTGTGTGAGTCTGTGGGTCTCTGTGAGTCTGTGGGTCTTTGTGCAAGTCTGTGGGTCTCTGTGTGATGAGTCTGTGGGTCTGTGTGAGTCTGTGGGTCTCTGTGTGAGTCTATGCGTCTCTGTGTGATGAGTCTGTGGGTCTCTGTGAGTCTGTGGGTCTCTGTGTGAGTCTGTGGGTCTCTGTGTGATGAGTCTGTGGGTCTCTGTGAGTCTGTGGGTCTTTATGCAAGTCTGTGGGTCTCTGTGTGATTAGTCTGTGGGTCTGTGTGAGTCTGTGAGTCTCTGTGTGAGTGTATGCGTCTCTGTGTGATTGGTCTGTGGGTCTCTGTGAGTCTGTGGGTCTCTGTGTGAGTCTGTGGTTGAGCAATAGGGAGCCATCCCTTGACCGCACCCGGGCATCGATCAGCCTCCCATTATATCTGTACCATATGGAGATTCTCCCGGTACAGCTATTGAAGGCTTCACGAACTACGTGGTCAAAATAGATGCTAAATAATGTGGGAGCCAGAGGACATCCCTGTCGCACCCCAAGGTGTACAGGGAATGGCTCTGACTCCCGGCCACGTAGTTTTTCCCCGGGCCCGCTCACCATCATGAAGGTCCTTAATGATCGTGAGCAGAGGGTCAGGTACTCCAAAAGCACGAAGAACGACCCAGAGCCCAGGCCTACTGATGGTATCATAGGCCTTGACCAGGTCAATAAAGCAGAGATGTAGGTCTTGTTGGAATTCCCTACACCTCTGCTGTAGCAGACGGACAGAAAATATGGCATCTGTGCAGGACCGCCCTTTCCTGAAACCGCATTGCGGCTCCGCAAGCCTCTCCTCAGCGTGCCTGGCAAGGCGATGCTGAATAATCCTTGCCAGGACCTTTCCCGGCACACTGAGGAGTGAGATGCCCCTGTAGTTGTTACAGTCTGTGCGGTTCCCCTTCTTAAAGAGGGGAACCACCAGGACATCTTTCCAATCCTGCGGAACCCGTCCAGTGGTCCAGACCGTTGTTATGATGTCATATAGGACAGTCTGTGCACAAACGCCACCCTCCCTCAGCATTTCGCTTGGGAGATCATCTCTGCCCGCTGCCTTTCCTGGTCTCAGACTCCGGATCGCCTTCAGTACTTCCTCAACAGATGGCACCTCAGCCAGCCACTCACAGGGGGTGACTTCTTCCAATATTTGAGGCACCGCAGCCTCAGCAGGGTCATCCTCACTTTGTGCCACGATGTTTTCCTGGCTGAGGGATTTTCCCTCCCCCAGGACCTCACAGAAATGCTCAGAAAATCTGCAAACCTGTTCCTGGGGGTCGGAGATTGGATCACCATTTTTTCCCCTAATGATGGTAATAGGTGTGGCACTGCAGGTTACTTTTTTGATGGAGTTATATACACACACACACGTGTACACACACACACGTGTACACACACACGCGTGTACACACACACACGTGTACACACACGCGTGTACACACACACGTGTACACATACGCACGCGTGTACACACACGTGTACACACACACGCGTGTACACACACACACATGTACACACACGCGTGTACACACACGTGTACACACACAGGTGTACACACACACGTGTAAACATACACGCGTGTACACACGCACGCGTGTACACACACACACGTGTGCACACACACACGTAGACACACACACGTAGACACACAACAACCGCCATTCGCCACTAAGTGGCGGTGACGTCACCACGACGCTTGTGCCAGGCCATGTGCACCTTGAGGCTGCAGTCACGGGAAGTGGGGAAGGACGTCTTGGACGAGTGTGATCCTTCTACAGATGTCTCTGCATTTTTCGAAGCCATTTTTTTCTTCGGATATCTCGGGATTTTGTTTGACTCTCCAGATTTCTCAGGAGTTTCGCAGACTGTATCCAAGACATTTCAGATATAGTCTCTAGATTTCCCAATATTCTTTTTCTTACCAAAGCTCTCCGATTTCCTGCAGATTTCTCTTTGCCATACTATCTCCAGATTTCTCGATTAACAAACAAAAAAATATTCTCAAGAATTGCCAGTTACTTTTGCATCCAGATTTCACACATTTTCGAAAGTTAATCCACAGCTGAAAAAAAACATGTAGCAGGAACACTTAGTAAACGTCACAACGTTTATGCTCTCGTGGGGGCTGACGCCCTGCTCCCCGTGAGAGGGCGGGATGCCCCCCCCCCCAGCTGCTTAGCCCTTGTGTCAGCACAGCGACCGGCCTCGAGTGGTTATTTATTAACTCGCTGGCAGCCGCAGAAACTCCGCAGCTGTACGGATACTCATTAGTTTGCGCTCTCGGGATAACCACCCAGTTTCAGTTTCATTTATTTGGTGTATAGCCCTGTGAGCCATTCGGCTCTTGAATCGGGTGCAACCGCAACAAACAAAAAACAAAAACGCGAACAAGAAAACATCTTAAAGTGACTTTGTGACTTTGTGCAAACAGAAAATCCTGGAAAAAAAATCCTGAAAAAGCACCGTACACCAACGCTGTGTGCAAAAATCCCATCATTCTAACTCCGTACTACAACAAACATGGCCAAACCAAACCCACTAATTTATATCACCCACACATGGCAGTGTGCCAATCGCTGTTCCACCACTCTTCACACACACACGCACAACGCGTCGACCATCAATCTAGTACCAAGGTTTTATTCCCGGCGTGAATAGTGAACCCCTGTTTATGCCCCCCCCCCCCCAGCGAACACTCCACGGATCTCGCCTAGCCTCTTATTTCCCACCCTTCGCGATGTGCGACTATTCTCAGGCTAGGGCTAACGGCAAACAGGGCTGAATTGAAGCAATTGGCGGGACCCCGGGGGTCTCATCACTGCCCCAGGGTGGGAAAAACCATGTAGCGACACGAGTCTTGCCTTACCGACAACAAAACTAGTGGTCAATCGATTGGCCTCGTTGAGAGCTACTCGGGGCACTAAGTTTCGTAAAAAGTTGAAAAATTACATAAACACGTTAAATTCACTGCGGGCGCGGGCTCGCCTTGGCATAGAAGCTGAGGATCGATGGCTGACCGGAGGGCGGACTGAAAAATTATAATTATTGACCTGATTTTTGCGGGACCCCGGGGTCACGCCAAATGATGAAATTGACCAACTGAACGATCACTCACCTCGCGCGGTGGAAGTTGTGGAGGACGGTGGGCAGCGAAGACTCTGCCTGGGCGATGGTTCGCAGCTGCACCCAATGGGCGTCAGGCGGACGCTGAGGGCGGCTGGGATTCAGCGCGGCTCCAGGTGAACTCTGAACTCAATTTGCTCTCTCCCTCCCCTCTTATCTTCTCAAAGCCCGTTAATCCCCAGGTGACATGATGTCATCTTGCGCGTCCAATCGAGTTATTTTTACGTGTCCCACCCATCACTACCTCCTCCTACCAACCCTCCAGTTGCTAAACCTCGATCCTCCACTCTGCTCACAGACATATACACATTCTTTGTGCTTTCAAGACAAAATACCAAGATCCCCCGTGTAGCCTGCAACAGACTGCCGGGGCAAGTGCTGTTAGAGAGCACCTATGAAGGTCGGCCCCTGCACACGAGCCGGTTGGGTGGCCAACACCACGCCCGGCCGCCTTTGTCTCCCCAGTGGTGATGTTTAAGACACCGCACCAGGTACTCATTTGAGGCTGAGTCTATCTAAGGGAGGACCCAGGATCGGTGCAGATAATTCGTCACCGATGTTGGCGAAATCGAACTCCGGTTGCCTGGGATCGTGGCTAAGTGCGCTAACCACTGCGCCATCACTCCCCCACATGTAGATAGACAAAGGTCCCCCGTGTAACATGTAACAGACTGTAGGGGCAAATGCTGTTAGCGACAAGCACCTATGAAGGTTGGAACGGCACACGAGGGGGGGGGGGGGGGGGGTAGGTGGACAGCTTTTGTTTCACACGCACGCACACACACACACCACCACTCTGTAACGTTTGACGGTTTGAACATTTGACTCCGCTTTTAATGCTCCTATTATTCTTCACAGAATCTTTGAAGAAGAGCACACGCGTGTGTGGGTGTTTGTGCGTGTATCTGTGTGTGTGTCTGTGTGTGTGGGTGTCTGTGTATGCCCTGTGTGTGTGTGTGCGTGTGTGTCTGTGTGTGGGGAGCGATAGTGTAGCGGTTAGCCCGCTGTGCTATGAACCTGGCGACCCGGGTTCGATTCCCGC